CACAATTTCATACTAAATTTAAAAACTATAATTAGTATTTATTCATATATTATATTTTAAAATCAAAGAACTACTAATCAGGATATAATTAAAGAAATAAGAGTTCATGTTGCTTTTAAAATATTTCACCAATTTCTCTAAAGGAAACACTATCTACAGATTTGCATCGAAGCGTTTCTTATGATAGTGATTTTAATCACTGTCAGATATCATCTATACTTGTCCCATCTATGCCTCGTCCACACTGTGCCTCGACCCCACTGTGCTACCGTTTTTTCAAATTAATTTCAACCCAAAATGTTTAAAATGCTTAAATGATTCAGTTTTGTTATGATAGGAATAGTTATTTTAATTACAATTACAATTAAAATTGTATTATATTATTATTTATATTTAATTTTTAATTAATGAACTTTTTATATTTCAAACTTTTTTACTGTAATCATAACAATAGTGACCTATTTTCAAAAAGAAATCTCAGTTTCGAAGTGAAACTGAAAAGGTTTTAATTTTACTATAATGTGTTTATTTTTTTGTATCTACTACCAATTATTCTCATATCTCGTTGCGCCGATTTAATATGCAATACGTCAAAAGATTTTTAATAAAAATTTGCACATATGCATTTTTTAGAGTGATTAAAATGTATCGTAACGTTTAAATCTAGACTGGTTTAACCCTAAACAGGGTCACGACTATATGAGGTTAGATCCACAAATTAGATGGATTTTTTATTTATTATTGTTATTATAAAAACCTTTGTTTGTACTTTTTTAAATTACAAAAAAAGTAAGGTTTTTTCTTAATTAATAAATATATATATATATTATATATTATAGTTATTAGAATATAGTTGCACAAAATCTACTTGTTTTTATAAACATTCATAGATGTAAAATAATTTATTTCCATAAAATAGTGAATGTATTATATTTATAATCGTTCAATGATTTTTCATTTTTAAATTCAGCTTTAACAATGCGACTAGCTGGACTACCAACTGTTTGCAACCAATTTTTCATTTTGTCAATTTGTTTTGGTGGTCCTTCAATTGTACCAATAACAGTTCCAACAGGTGTGTTCTTACACCAACCTCGTAAACCTAACAATTTTCCTTGTTCTCTTGTATATTTACGAAATGAAACTTTTTGAACTGTCCCGAATATTTCAAAGTCAACGCTCAATAGCTCCAAAGCCATAGTGATTTTATAATCAAATTTAGTTAGATTAAATACTGAGGAATAATCATGTTTTATTAAAACTAATTTTGGTTCATATTAATTGTTTTTTAAGAAAATTAAATTTCAAAAGCTCTAAGACAAACAACTGTTAGTTTATAAAAATTACAAATTATTAAAGAAACCTTGGCAATAAACAGATAATAAAATAACTGGTCTATGTGTTAAAATTCCTAAGTTTTCCAAAAAAATCTAATATTAATTTTATATTATGTTAAGTATTTAATTGTATTATCTAAGAACTCAATTGTTAGATTTTATATGAATGTTAAAAATCGAAATTAAACTGTTGAGGACTAAAAGTATATTTTAATTTACAGAATATACACATAACAATGTACATGTGTAATAATTAACAAGTCTAGGGTAACAAAAATACTGACATTTTGCTTTTTAAGCGAAAATCGAAAATGTACTATAAACAGCTAAGCGGTAGTTGTAATGTTTCCAGTCATTAAATTTTTATTTATTTAAATTTGTTTTTATGTTGATTGTAAAAGTAAAAAAAATAATATGTCAGCATAAAATATAACAATTGAAAATTAATATCTACAATATCCGTTTTATTTTAAATTTACATGCATTATGTTTCTTACAATTAAAAAAATCATCATGTTTAAGTATGATACTATTAAAAATTAATTTAAATCAAGAACTTGGTTTTTTATTGTATCTATTCAATAAAATTATACAAATAATTGCAATGTTTGGTCAACTACTTCAAAATTTAATGAGTTACACGAGTGTAGATCCCTAACCTATTTTCGTTATTTTGTTTAAAATCTTTGTTTGTGGGTGGCTTTTGTTAATCAATTTTAGCTCTCGCCAGTACAATTTTATTAATGTAAATAATATAATAGTTAAATTATAATGTTTTTATTATAAATTACATTTTTATTTGTTATAACATTTTTATTCATATAAATGTCTTGAAATTATTTTTTTTCTTTTCTTTCGTGTTATGTAATAACTTAAATAATCAGTAAAAGTACCGCCACTGGATGACTTATCGTGATATTCGCAGCTAATTTGTAGTTTTAACACAATAACTTCATGTAAAAAATATTTGTATAAATATGATATTTATAAATTTATCCATTAGCAAATAATTTTCTTTTTATAATAAGTTAAAAAATTTATTAAAATAAATATACAACAATATTTGAAGAAAATACTCCATAGGATGAAGGAGAAATAAGTCTATTTATTTGAAAATAATTCAAACAAAATTTAATTTGCAACAGAGGGTTATAATGACTGGAAAAATGCCAATCAGCGTTTCAATTGGCATCAAAATAGTCAAGTACATAAAAATTCAATTATAACACTAAAATTACGAGGTAAAGAAATCGGAAAAATTATAATCATAAAAAATTATGAATCTAAATACATTTAATACTTAAAGTGTAGATTCTATCCCAGAAATCTCTCATGTCGACCAACTTTCTTTTATGGTGAGATATGTATAGAATAACGGCGAACTTATTGAACGTTTTTTATGTTTTACTCCTTATGAAGGACACAAATCTGCAGAATTCACAGATGTCATATTAAATATTTTAAAGATTCATAATATTGATATTGCTAATTACCGAAGATAGACATATGACAACGCCAGCAATATGTCCAGAAATTTATACAGGTTTGCAAGCCCGAATAAAAGAATTAAACCCCTTAGCTTTTTTTGTACCATGCGCTGCGCACTCATTAAATTTAGTAGGAACTTCTGCCGCAGAATGTTGTAGTGATGCATCTTCATTTTTTAGATTTATTCAACAACTTTACAATTTTTTTACGGCATCTACACATAAATGGAATATTTTACACGACAATATGAAGCAAAACTCATACACCCTTAAATCCTTATCAATAACTAGATGGTCGGCTCGCGCGGATGCATGTATAGTTTTAAATTCATCATGGTTTAGAAATAATAAACTCATTGTCACTTATTAATAATAATGAAAACGAAAAATGCATTATCAAAAACGAAGCCAAAGGTCTATGTACAAGTTTACAATCTTTGGAAACCGCGTTTTGAACAGTATTTTGGACATATGTATTAGAACAGTTTAATATAACTAACAAAACTTTACAAGGTATCGCAATTGATATTGGTACTGCTTCAAAGTTATATGCATCGCTTATTAATCTTATTCAAGAAACTCTACATAGATTTGACTATTTTGAAGAAAAAGCAAAAACTATGTCAGGAGATGAATTATATCAAGATACTAAGTCCCGACTAAAAAAGAGGAAAGTATGTTAAGATGAAAAAACGATACTGCTACATCAATGAATGGTCGCGAAAAGTTTAAAATATTTACATTTTATGTGATTATTGATCAAATAGCAAGCGAATTAGTTATAATAAAACGGCGAAAAGTTTATGATTTCTACTTCACTAACTTTATCGTACTCCACAAGCTTATTTCTTTAAGTTCCTCGGAAATAATTGAATATGCCGATAAATTACAAGAATGTTACCCAGATGATATTGAAAAAGCATTTTCAACAGAATCTATACATTTTATTTATTATTTAGAATCTTCAAATAAACAAATGAATTGTATTTCTTCTCTACAGATGTGTAATTTATTACGATAAGATTCTCTTACAGACGAGTATCCTAATGTAGATATAATACTAAGAATATATGTTTGTACAGCAACTTTTAACTGAACTACTAAATGTTCTTTTTCATGTCTTAAACGAGTTAAAAATTATTTAAGATCGACTATGGAACTGAAAAACTCAATAGTTTAGCAATATTGAACATTGAAGTGGATTTACTGTCGATTTTAAATTGTGGTGATTTAAATAATGCATTTGATGAGGAAAAAAGTAAAAGAAAATATATAAAGTCTTAAGTATAATTTATGTGTAAATTGCAAAAAAGATATTTCGTGTAATTTAATTTTCATTAATAATGTATCCTTTTTTTATATATATAATAATAATATAAAAAATTATTTATAAAATATGTTTTATAAATAATTTTTAGAGGGATAGTGAGAGAAAGGCACATCATAGTAAAATTAATACCTTCTCAGCTTTGCATCGAAGCTAAAAAACAAATGAATCAGCTTTCATTGAAAGTGAAAAATAGTAACTTGGAGTTTTAATTTTATTTAAAAATTTTATTATCTTAGGACAATAACTATTTTATACTAAAGTTTAGTTCTCAGATGAGCCTACTAGGTTGCTAAGTAGTTAACAAAGTAAATACCTTAGGTATAAACTAAAGGTACATATATATATATATATATATATTTCATTAGGTACATTAGAATTCGAAATAACAACTTTGAATTAAAAGTTAAATTTTAAAAATGTATTTCCGGAACATTTATACAAGTCAGACATTTTATTCAATCGTTTTTTTTAAAACAATTAATATTTTTTATTTCAAAAATGTATTTTAGACAATTTATTATAATTATTATTACCCTAGTATTAAATAATTTAACTTAATCAACAAATTTATTAAGACAATTATAATAATATCATAAAATAATTATTTATTCTAATTATATAATTTTTATTTTTTATTTACCGTATAACTTGATGATATATCTTATATTTTCACTTAGATATGATTATTTGCTTTATAATAAAAATAAAGACGTTATATTTAAATAAAATTTGATGACTTGTTTCTATACAGCTTTATACTGTTACACTGTAATGCTAGATTTTCCAATCGACACTATAAGCTAGTGCATCAGGTGACAATTTTTTAAGAGCAGCAAATTTTAAGGCGCGAAAAATATTTTTTGTTGATATTACAATTGTTTTTTGTTACTAGAACTGAAAAAAGGTAACTAATTATTGTAAAATGTATTTTAAAAAATAAAATTGTAGTAATATATATTTATATCATATTATTTTTAATTTAGAAATCCTATTTTATCGCCATATCATTCATTATACTGTAATCTGGGGTAAAAGTGTTCTTTTTTAACTATTTGTTCATGTCTATTAAATTGAATTATTTATTTCTATAACTCTTACCTCAGTTTACACTACCGATGTTATTTTAAATACTAATCGGCAATAATCTACAGCGACTATAAAATTATACATTTGTAATAAATTAGGTGATATAGCTTACTTTGACGATAATTTTTTGTAAAAAAATTGTCATTTTGAATTCCTCCCTGAGGGCAAGTAAAGGGTCAGATTTATAAAAAAAAATGTATAAAATGATTGATAAATATCTCACGTATCTATAAAAAAAAATTTCGAAAATTAGAATTTTTTAATTTGTAATTTTTTGGAGATTTCCCCCATTTACGAAGAACAAGGGAAATTTTTTCAATTTTTAAAGGAAATGTCTTGGACTAAATACGATTTGTGATCTTTAGTCGTATCGTTGAATGAAATCGATTAGGTGAGAGCTAAGAAATAGTGGTAACAGGCACAAAAAAAAAAAATATAGTAATATTAATACCTTCTTAGCTTCGCATTGAAGCTAAAATATTGTTCCTAACTATTATTATGATCTTAAAAACTTATTTGTCATATTTTTATATGAATCTGTTAGTTTTTGTGTAACAAATTATTTAAACTTTTATTAAATATTTATTTCAATGTAAGTCTGAATATATAAATTTTTATTTGTTTTATAACTACATGGATTATTATTTGATAATAATTAATTTTTATTTTAGCAACAAGTTGTTACTTTATATTAATTGAAAAATAATTTTAAATTGTTATTTCGTATCTATAATTGTTTGAAGTTCAAGACTTTTCGTATTTTTATTTAAGACTTATCTCTATAAAAAAATTAATACATTATTTATGTTCAAAACAATATTAGATATTGTTTAAAAAGAATTTTATAATATTTATTTTATATTTATCAAACTATTATTTGATTGCTTTTAAAATTCGATTAAACTAGAACTTTTCTAATCAACAACCAAGAATAGAAAAAACTATTATTATAAAGATTACAGATACCCAAAGCATTTTCAAAAATGCGCTTTGTTGCATAATTTTAAACATGAAAAATAATTTAATTATATGAGGTGATTATTAAGGAAAGACACTCATATTCTCGTTAACTATTGAAAATTTTATTTTTGTAAAGTAAAATATTGTTTGACTCAAAAACTACAATAATATGTATTTAAATAATTTTTTAGCCATCCCTTCAGGTATGAAAAACCTTAAAATTTATCTTTTAAATGAGAAACGCTATTTTTTCTTGTTACTATGATAAAACATTTACAATTTTGTTCTTGTAATTTTTTTTATCCGGTTAACTATTCGTATTTTTAAATAATTTAAAAATTTAATTTAAATAGAAATTTATCAGTAATTTAGTTTTCGTAATATCAGAGGCAACATTAATATGTTACAATGAGCCATAAATTATTTTTTTATAGTTATCAAGAAAATTTTTCCACACTAGTCGTTCAATAATGTATGATAGTAGTAAACTTGTATAGAATATAATAGTACGTGTCTATTAATATCATTAATGACTTTTGTATACAAAACAGTAGAATAACAATATAAATNTAATATCATTAATGACTTTTGTATACAAAACAGTAGAATAACAATATAAATTTGCTTTAAAAACACTTTAGTACGCTAAAACATACGAAAGGTTTATTAGAGAAAAAAAATGTTGGTAAAATTTATTCTATTATAAGATTTTTGAAAAAAAAACATAACTTATTAGTTTTTATTATTATTATATCCATTCTAGTAATTGTGTCTTATAATTTGTAATATTTTGAGAAATAATTAAATATGCGTTGAATGTTCAAGGATGACCAAAATAGAGATGGAGGGATGTAATTGAATGTGAAATGAGGAGAGCTGATGTGAGCGTAGATGATGTGGGTGATCGTCTCATGTGGACATTTAGGATAAGGGTGGCCAACCTCAAATAGTTGGCAAGGAGAAAGAAGGAGAAGAAGACTAAAATATACATAATATAAATAAATGATAAATTTTTAATAATAATAAACAATATAGAAAAAGTACATTAAAAAAATGTAGATAAACTTAACTTATTGATTTAATTATAATAAGTCAGAAATTTTTTGATAACTTTAGTAAGAAGGAAAATGAAACTTATGAATACTGAAAGGAGCTCTTCTATCATGAACATCGATAGCTCTTAAAGCAATCCAATACGACCCTATAGAACAGTCTGTCAAATTCCGAACCATGGGATACTTTTCAATCTTGCATTCTCCTAACTTAATCCACATGTTTTCTTTGGGAGGTTCATTTGTTTCTTTGCAAAGATACAATTCAAAGGATGCAACTTGGGCTGTTGGATAAGATGACTTCATAGTCCATTCTAGTTCGACTATGCTGTCGATAATATTGATATTTAATAACGGATTAGACGGAAGAGATTTCCAATTAGGCTGGTCCATATATTGTGGAGTGATAGGCAATGGTGGAGGATAGTTAATGTTTAAATTTTTATCTCTTAAATTGAGCTTATTTTTCTTGATAATATCATCATCCGAGCCTGAATCTAATTCTATAATATCATTTTCATGTGAAGATTTCACAGTAAAAAAATCGAATTCATTATTTTTTTTGGATCCATTTTTTTTTGCGTTTTTGTAATTCTCATCTTTCAAATTAGATTGGTCTATAGAGGTCATCCCAATTGGCATCAGGTCAGGTATTTTTCTATTCGTAGGCTTTGGCAATCTTGGATTTAACGAGTTTTTTCCAAGTTGAGTAAAAATAATCTCTCCATTTCTCATAATAATCAATCTGAAATATTTACATAGTAGTTTAAATTAAATTAATATATCTGAGTTTATTGTTAATTCATCAAAATATACAATATGTTAGAGGAAAGCTGTACAAGGTGATATTTCTATTCATATATGAAACATTTTAATATGTTTCATAGGATATATAAATTTCTAAGCACATAACATTACTAAATAAAAATTAATAATTAATAATATTAAAATGAACAACATTCTTGATGAGTTCTTGTTTTAAAGTTCTTAAATATATCTATCATATCTTTTAGTGGTAGATTTTAAATTAAATTTTATTTTATTTTTCAAATATATAAGTATGATATAATAATATTATTAAACAAAAACTTCACTGTCTAGTATGTCTTTCTTTTTAAAACAGATTATTTTCAAATATTTATTGATAATATTTATAAAATGTACTAAATAAAATGCACGCTAGCATCATAAGGAGTCCTATAAAATATTAGAATGAAAGTATTTTTACGCTATTTTGAACTCTTAAAATAAAAAAATGTTCAAACACGTATTATGAATAATTTTTTTTTAATTTTTATTTAAATTTAATTACTTTAAATAATGATAATTATTTATCTACCTGATATCTTGTCAATTTAATCAGATTTAAAAAAAAATGATTTTTATCATTACTCATGTAGATAATATTGCTTTATCATTTACACTGGTAAAAGATATTTGGGAAAATTTTCATTGAAAATACGCCAGTATTTCAATTATATTACTTAATCATTAGATTGTAATTATTAATAAATCTGTTTTTTAAGATCTTTTATTTTTTGAGATAAAATTTATTTCTATTACACAGTTATTTAAGGTTCTTTTTTCTAATTTTATAAATAATCTAATCCTTCAATAAAACTAATCTAAAATAGAACTGTCCAGTGCTCAATTATCCTGGCGCGGCATTGTCGTGACATCAAGTATAATAAATAAATTCAACTCATTTATTATAAATATATTTAATAGTATTTATAAATTTTTTATTTCATAACTGTAATAATTATTTTGAATCTATATTTTTTTTTATTAGCATTTGAATTCATATTTTGAATACCTTTACAATAACTTTTTTAAATACTTACTTTGAATTCAAAAATAAAAGTATCTTTTACAATACTGGTCAATGTTATACATTTTACATGGATTAAAAAAAGTAATATTTTTTTAAGTTTGCCTAACTTATAAAAGAAAGATATTTCTATCACGTTACACAAAGATGCAATTGTATGTCGAAACCAAATTCACCTTATAGTAAAGTGGAGTTGTGTTATAAATTTGTTAAATAATTGTACTTTAAAACTATGTCTAATATGTCAAATACCTTTTATTTTGATTACTATTGAAGCAATTATTTTTATCAAATGACTGAGCATATTGTTCCATGTTATTATAATTGTTTTCAACAGTAGGGTCTAATGATTTGAGAATCAATAGGCCTATATGATGATTTCGAATAGTGACCTCCTCATACTTGTAACATTTTGACATCAATTCATAATCATCCTTAGGCATAACAACGACTTTATCATTGTACACTACTTTCACATAAGTGTCCTCAAACAAACCTAAATTACATCCATATAACTTTTGGCTTGTTTGAACTTCGTTAACTTGTGAACGTTTCATATTATTATATAATATAATGTTTTGAATTATATTTGAAATTATTTTATCTTAATTCAATTAACATGTTAAATGAGTACCAACTGCAAACGAAATCAAAATAATAATGAAGTAACGTTCGGTTGTTACTTTAATGTTTCTTAAAAAAAAAAATTTTTTAAGCCAGCAATTACAAGAAAATATTTAATACTATTGATACAATAAATAAGTTACATAGGTTAAGCGAATTTTGACAACAGACAAGGAGTTTGGTTATAAATAACGCCATAGAGGTACAAATAATTATTATCATTTTTAAATAATATTTTTTAATCTCTGTCATAAATTTGAATTATACATAAATGTTTGTGAAAATTTTGTTTTGTGTTGTTTTCAAACACCCAAACAAATCATTATCAGTTAAATATAATACACTGTTGTATTCTGTCTTAAGAGGGCGTCCAAGTAATTTTTTTTACAAATAAAAACATTTCTCAGGAGATCACATATTTTGGAAGACTAGAAGTCCTATAGAGGTGATTAATATATACAATTAAAGCTAATAACATTATCTGCACCACTACATAAACAATTTTTGATAAAATACTTTTTAAAAATTAAAGGCCTTTGAAAATATGTCAAATTTTCGTGTTTTCATACATTTATAGAATTTATTAGTAGATTTATCTAAAATCGACCATATAAAGATTTATACAATGCTTCAATACTCAATTTAACAAATTGATTTCTCGAGATATGTTTTCTAGTATTTTTTCAATTATTTATATCTTATTGTAGCGCAATCTGTCGAAGCCTTTTAAAAGTAATTTGCTAAAGAGGATTACACACGAAACGGTTTAACCACAGGCGGTCACGGATAAAAACTACTCGATTCATGTGTTTTTAAGCTAGCGGCATTCCGCTAACGACCGCGTATGTTCAATATTTGCGTGATCGCCGTATCCGCCAATGTCAAATTAAACAGCTAAGATTTAATGGGAATATTAACACATGAGACAGTTCGACTACGACGTAAACTCAGTAAAATTTCCATTTTCAGTTAAAAAATTCTAGCATCAGTTGAATTTTTGGGGGTTGTTTTTAGAAATATAAAACTATTTGTGATTTCATATTTTTTTAAGTGTTTTCATTTACATTTAATTCGTGACTTTGTATCCGAGTAGCAATTCGAGTTCATACTGGGTTCATTTAATATAGTAACAACAGTGCTGAACTCAGTTCAAAACCCGTTCATAGCACGGTTCAAAATGAGATTTGAATACAGATTTTAACATGAGGTGAACTGAGTTCTACAAAGTTCAGTTAGAATTCATAGACCGTTCCTCGGTTTAGTATTAAAAAGATCGATAGTCGTTCATTGGTTCAATAACAGCATGCTCTACGACGGTTTATCAAAATATTCAAGACCACCTGGATGAAGTACAAAAATGGGGAGAAAAATGGAAAATAAGACTAAATCCACAAAAAAGTACGGCAGTGCTCTTTAGCAATCGTCGACCTAAAACTCCTGACAACTTAAAACTGAACGGAAACATCATTCCTTGGTCACCAAAAATTAAATATCTCGGGGTAATTTTGGACAAGAAACTAACATGGAATCCACACATCACATCCAAATTACAACAAGGATATCAGAGGCTAAAAATACTCTATCCTCTGATTAATCGACAAACTTCTCTTAGCTGGAGATGTTCTCTAATGCTTTACAAGCAAATTTTACGTCCACTTCTTCTATATGCAGTCCCTGTGTGGGGTAATTGCGCTAAGACCCATATACGTAAAATTCAAGCGCTACAATCAAAAGTCCTTAGGACAATATCAAACGCCCCATGGTTTGTTAGAAATGCAGCACTACACCTAGATTTCCAGCTACCATATATTTCTGACTATATTAAGATACTAGCGACCAATTTTTTCAACCAAATGCACTTGGCTGACAGTGCAAAATATTATCATTTAACTGCTCCACCTTCTGTAAGACGTCTCAAGCGAGGACGTCCACACGACCTTTTAACTTAGTTGCTATCTTATTATTTATTATTATTATTGTTACTTTCTCTCCTTTATTCTTAGTTAAAAAAGAAAAAAAAAAAAAATGTAAATAGTTAGAATAGTGTATATATTATCATTTCTTAATGTATATAATAAGTTATTGTTTCCAAATGTCAAAAAATTATATGTGTTAACTGTAAGTCAAGATGACGAGATGTCAGGTA